ACTGTTATGGCACATGTAAATAATCAGATAGTCTGGCATATATAGAATTCATGCCCAATTCTCACCCAATTTAATGTAAATCACCCAAATTTTTAAGTTGTATCGTATTCATCATTATCAACTTTTCTTTTTCCATTTAAAAAAAAATTGATCATAGTAACCTCAGAAAATATGCAATATTTTTTTAAAAAGTGGGTTTGTGCATAAATTGAACATGCAAGTACAGTGGTATGTGTTGCATCAATTCCGTGTATAGTAGTTTCAGATTTCTAGCTTATGTTACTCAGTCTCTCCCAGTTAATTGCTATGTCCAACGAGTTCACTACATCGTGCACAAACACAAAAATGTAGTACCGGTAGTTTTAACGTTACATTCTTCAAATCAAGGAAATAATTTGTGGACGGATTCATCTTTTTTTGGAAGTTCAAACATACACCACTTATATTTGAATGGAATGCCATTTACTGCGCTGCTACAATGCTAATTCGTGGTGGTCTGGATCGGATTACAGAACCTGAATCGTCAGAGGTTATCGTGGACGTTCTACTGGTGCTGGGTGGGATTGGTTTTTTGGATGAATCGAATATACTACCACGGCGACTATTGAGTCCAGGAGAATGGCTTGGTGTTGCTATGCTGAGTCTATCAATTGCACTGCTGTCCATGTCCTGTGAAGAAAAGACAAATTAAAATATTAAAATATTATCATGATACACTCCACCAGTACTGCATGGACATGTTTACCAACATTCAAGATTTTATAATTAGAGGTTCACTTCATGACATCATTCTGTCAATCAGAACACGACTGCTGGTGACCAATATATTCCCCGACAGCAAGAAAATAATATCAATTTTAAAATTTACACTTAAATTATATGGTATACAATATAGTGATCATGCCAATAACAAGGTAGAAAGCAATTTCAGACATTCCAAAAAAATTGTACTTACTCTGAACTGTATGCCTTCACTGAGGGAGAATGTAATGACAGTTGCGCCAGCTTTGCCACTGCTAGGATTTACTGAAGGCAACTTGAATACTCTGTTGGGCTCTTCCATGGTCAGGAAAGCTTGTAGACGTTGTTGCGTAAGCCTCTGGGATTTCGTCATGGCTGAAATTCACAATTACAATATTACTCAAAAATGTTTGAAATCAATTTTATTATTGTTTTAAAGAGAGTAATATTTATTACCTAATCTGTCAATCAAATCGAATAACGGGTGTTATTTATAAGTTTAACCACATTTGAATGATTTTAATCTAGATACATCTATGGATAATAAATTATGTTGCATGCATGCATGAAATGACAGTGAAGCCGAACATGTAAAAGTAACTTACTCGGCTCTTTCTCAAGTTTCTTTGCATCAGTCTGTCTGTTGAATCCGGCCCAGTACGGCAACATTTCTTTGAAAACACAGCTTTGAGGTTCTTCTAATATACTTGGATTGTGTGGATCTTTTCCTCGGTCACGTATGTAACTTTCACTGTGACGGATTGTTTTGGCTGCCAGTTCTGGTGTGATGTCAATCTGTAACCCAATGTATTAGTGTGGTTAGTAGATGATAGTTTTACAGAAGAGAAATGCTGATGGAGCATTCCTTGTTTTCAAATGTTTCAAATATATAATTCTTATTATTTAGCTACCGGTATACATCATGTGTGGTCAAACCAATTTTTAGTAATCACTAACTTAAAGATCATAAAGCACCCTCTATCAAACCTATTCAACAAAACAGTCTGTTTTTTTCCATATCATTTCTGAATGTGTTTTCTTTTATTTCTGCTGAACAACACTCATGTGCAAAGGACAGAAAAATCAACAAGATCTGAGAATGTCACATGTAAGAAATTAAGTGTTTTTGAACAGATGATTGTTTTATTACATACCTGCACAGATGGTGTTGTTGCCTGTGAATCCAAGAAACAATCAACAATGACCTCCACTTTCTTTTTCAAGAAAGCTAGCTCATTGTAAGCATGGTGTCCATCCTACAATAAAGAATAGTTCAGCATAGTTACTACATACACCTGATCCAGAGTCATGGAGGAACCAGAATTGCATATGACATGGTGGGAGTGTGCACTAATCCTTTGCACTCCGAGTAGTCGCAGGGTTGGTGTGGCTTGTTAGCTAGTGTACATGTATGTGGTGGAGTCACTTATGTGTGGGCTTCAAATACGAACACAACATTCAGCACCATCAATAAGGTTTGATTGCATAAAACTGCGATGACGCATGTGTTGTGGAATACAGAAAAAGGCTTGAAGCATTCGCACTGCGTACACCATGTGCTAATATTAACTTTAACAAGGTTATGGCGTAGACATATCTCAAGAATATTATTTATTATGAAATGCCAGAATCGTGTATATTAATTTTTTTTCCCCTCTGTCTATTGCAGTTATTCAAAGATTTTACACTGTTCGTTGACACGAGGGTTGCCTAAATAGGTTTTGATTGTACACTAGTGGCTGTTCCTGGCGCCATGTGTCTAGTTTATATGAATTCAAAACAATGTGATGCAAGGAATTTTAATAGTTTTATTAAAGGATAAAATTACCATCTCATGACAAAGATTTTAAAAGCAATGCCAATCAAGTAAATATATGTAATATATAAATTACTGTTCACAAATGAATGTCAAATTTTTCAGTGTAAGAACAACACCCAACTCTGTACTTGCTAAATATTCTCTTTGCACTTTAAGAGCATTCATTTGTATTTTTTGGATTATTGCATAAAAACTTTGATGGTCTGAATAGTTGAGAATTGCAGGAAATATTTGAAGATTGGCCCTTCAAGTGAATTACTGTGACCTGCATTAATTCAGAACACAGGCGAATCTTTGTGAGTTCATGCAGATTGGAATACTATTCTGTTTATAATAGCACATAGAATTTAATCTTACAACCCAATGGGAAGCCAAAATGATTGCCAACATTCAAATGTTAATTTAGACGAAATACTTCATATGACATACCCACCCCCACCCCACCAAGCTTCATCACATGAATGATGTCAGAGTGCAAGTTTGAGGACTGACAACACTCACCGATTCAAAACATTTCACTAACCTTGAACCTTTGGGCTTCAATCCAGAAATCCAAATCATTGGTCAATAGCACAAAACCATCGGCCTCTCCATGCTTGGCTATATATCGCTTGAAATGTTTTAGTTTTAACGACATTGATTTGCCTTTGGAAGCAGCCATCAATTCTTTCATAAACTCGATTCTATCAGCGTTAGTCGGTGCCTGCCTTCCTGGTTGCTGTCGTAAACAACAAAAATAAGTAAGTAGTCAAATAAGACAGAGATTTCCTGTACACTTAATTATTCAGTGATATATTTGTGTGTGTATTTCTGCTGTCTTGTATTGGTGTAAAGCAAAACACGCATATCCAATTTGCCGAATACCAAACCGTATCAGTTTTGTAATACCATGCATTTAAATATGTCTGCCAACTCCCATTAAATGTCAAACATACAAACACTGTACTGGTAATATCTCATGCATTATTAAGATTATATTAAAAATCCCGTGGTACACACATTTTTTCAAATATCTAAGAAAACAATATTATTATTATCAATTTGTAACCATTATACAGATATAATATTCATGCAGAAAACCATGCACTCAGTATTAAACCCATCATTGACACCATTATATGGATATAATTAATTTATTAGTGATTGTAATTTTAATTAATATATTTTAATTGAGTGTTATATGATGCTTTAAAATTGCACAACCGTTACCATGCAAACGAAGCATTGTGTATTATTAAATGCACATAACATTTAGTTTTTGGTAAAAATTAAAATGTCAAGCGTAAATAGTGTAAATATAATAGCATATTCAATGGCAAGCAAGCGTATTAATCTACTAATAATAAGCTGTTATGTTTGGTATGGAGTGTAGTGTGGTGTGCATGGTGCGTTACTGACTGAATAATATACAGGTACATGGAGGAAGAATGACGTACGTCGTAACCATGCCAACACACACCTTATAACGCTGCTGTTTTCTCCTACGTTTTACCTTCTCGGATATCTTTTTGTTAATGTCAGAAGCGGACGGAGTTGCCGATTCTGATTCAGACTGTGTACTGATCTGGTGTTGCAAAAGAGACTGTCCTGGTTCCGAGGTTACAATCTCGGGTACAGGAGGCAATAATGGCAGGGACGATGACAGTGGTGGTGATGATGATGATGAAGTAGCAGTAGGATCAGATTTCTAAATGATTGGAAAAAAGAAATCAACACGAAAAAAACGAGAACAATGATGAACGCCACATTAAAGATTAGTAGATAAAAAGCGTACAAAACATGCATGATTTAAGACAACAATGGTGAAAAGATGACATACTGGTGTAGTGCTCTACAAAACATAATAAGTTTAACATTGACAACAATTTTCCCGACAAAATATTTCATCTGACTAACAAATAAAAAAATTCAAGTTATGCAGGTCATGATTTAAGAGTAGTGTTACATTTTGAACATTTTCTCCTAATAAAAACTTAAAATTTTTGACCAGGAGTTACTCTTGCAGTAAAATTGGCGGGAAAATGATCAAGCTGTAGCAAGGTTATAACAGGACAATTCATGCAAGAAAGAAATGAGTATTTCTGGAAAAGTTAAAAGTGTATGGACAAGCAGCTTTATTTAACAGTTGAATATGACATGACGTTGATATCATGAATGCAAGT